AATGGTGTTCTATTTTAATCTGTCTTTAAGCAGATTTATGGTTATGATGATCTCCAGATGCTTCAATCAAGGCTGCCAATGGTAAGTAAATGGCTTTATTTAAATTTAAACAAGTTCATTTAATGGTGATGAAGAACTTTAACTTACCTTCTGTATTCTGTTTTTTTAAATATCCATACACAGTTTCTCTAGGTGGTGCAGATGGATACAGAACAACTTGTTGCATGTGTGCTGATTGATGTACAAATTTTGTACGTACAAGCAAGCATACTCTGTGATTATGAGTGAAAAAATCTTTTAATTGTTGTAGCAACGATATGGCATCTGTCAAAATCAGGTGAAATCTGAGTGTGAATGTTTCCTTTTACCAAGAGCTAGGGTTGAACATCAAAGACACAAACAGGCAGCCGGTAGGTGCATCTGAGAGGTTTTGGAGGTGCTCGTAGGTGGAGATCACTGTGTATGCATCATGGCAGCAAATGCAGGTGAGCTGCAGGAGGGACAGTTTACCAAGTTTACTTCCTTACATGGATCTCAAGTGTAAACAGTGTGTGATAGATGCTGAGCTCCCAGACATATTCACAAAGAGCCTCAGCCTAGACTACAGAAAGGTAAACAATTAGGTTATCAGAAAATTAGAACAAGGGTCTTGGACAGAAAATTTGGTAGTATGTAACTGCAAAAAGTCAGAGGATGAAGTGATACATGATATCGGTAGAGGCAGGAATGGAGCAATGAGCAGTGATCTGGAAAAGAGGTATCACTGGATGGTAAGTGCCAGGTCTGGGGACAGCCAGCATGAGATATTCAAAGCGGAGTACACGGATGTCCCAGACAAAACCCTGTCCACTTCTACAGCCTGAATTACAAAAATAAAGTTGACCGCTTTAATAAAGATTTGAACTGCGCAATAAAGGCATAATCCTTGCAAGAACTGTCAAGTGAAATGAATGTGATTGTTCTCAGAGCAGGAAAATAAAAAATATTTGCAGTTCTGGGGCTATAGAGTGATGGGATGATGCTGACTGGAGGACGTCTTGGTGCTTGTATCTGTTGTGAATCTGGGCTCTGTGAGTTGCAAACCATCAGCCCTGGTCCTGCTGGCGGAGGCCCCGTGGCAAAGTCTGTGCCCAGCTGTCCTGGTTTTGGCTGGCAGGAGAGGCTCTGTCCCAGGTCTTGAGCTGGGAGAGAGCATCTCCGGAGCGCCTGAGGCAAATTTGGCACGTGGGCTTTGGCATGTGGGGTTTGGGCCAGGGTAGAGAGAGTTCCCTGGCGCAGTTGGAGGGCCGGGCCGGGTTTGGCCCTTGGGGTGTTCCATCTCCTGTGACATCACGGTCAGGATATAAAGGTGACGAGTGTTCTCTGGCTTCTGGTGGTCACGGCGGCATCTTTGTTGGGTCGGGGTCGGGATGGGGATCGCAGCCGGGGGCGGGCTGCGTATCGTTGGTCGGGGGGTGAGCGAGCGCATTGTGCGTTACCCGTTTGGACTTTGCGTTACCGTTTTGTTCTGTTGCAGTC